GAAAAATCAATAAGCGGTATTTGTTTAATGCAACCGAGCAAGATTAGATCTCAGGGAGATGTTTGAGGGATCAGGGACATGTTTGAACTTGGTGAAATTAGCTGTCACTGAGAAGAACTGGAATTATGCTTGTGAATAAGGACTAGACTGTAGTGATTGGAATCTAAAGGGAGTGTGGACCCAGGACAGGACAGCTGTTGAGGTACTCCATGACAGAATAGCTGTAGCAAGGCAGTTTCACAGCCAGGACAGAAAAGTAAAGAAATATAATTCCTTATGTTTGATGATACTGTGAAATTAATGTTATGGAGTTGGTTTGGGGGTGGGGGAGATGTCTATGTTATTGTCTCAATTACACATGCTGTTTGATGTGCACTATGGATTGTTCGATCACTGTAGCTCACCCACATTTACCACACACTTAGTCTGGCTGTTAGAAATTAGTTATTTGTGTATTGAAGATTATATTACTGTTGTATCTTGTATCGCAAAGTAAAGGGAAGGTAGTGGGGAGATGCTGAAAATCTGGGCACTAAAAATGAGGGGAGTTCTATTTAACTTTTTTAGAAATAAGTTTTCCTTTACTAATTAGAAAGATATTGAAGAAAAAGAGCTACTTTTTTTCCTGGGTGTGAGGGGAGCAATTGGACATGGAAGTTGGAGTGGGGGTGAGAGTCATCCTTTGCAATTATCAAAAACACACTTGGTAATCCTAGTTCTTATGAAAAAAACATCCTGGGCCAGATGATCAAAAATTTGGTCAAGGAGATAGCTTTCCAGCACCGACTGAAAGGAAGTGAATTGGACAGCCCTGGGATACAGGCAGATGAAGGCACAGTTTCTAATAATGGGGCAAAGTGGAGTTAAGGATTATCAGATCAGCCATGATCTCATTGAAGGGCAGAGCAGATTTGATGAGCTGAATGGCCCACTTCTCTCCCTGCATCTTATGGCCTTATTTAAAGTTATTGTGGATGCAGTCAAGACCAAAATTGGAGGAAAGCAGAGATCTCAGTGGGTTATAAGCCTGGAGGGGATTGCAGAGATAGAAAGGAGTATGACTATAGCCGAATTTGAAAACAAGGACAAAAATTCAAAAACTGAGCAGTTGCAGGACCAGGAGCCAACACAGGTTCATGAGTGGAAGGGTGATGGAGACTCAGTGTGAGTCCAGTTTCAGGCAGAAGAGTTTTAGACAAGCTCGGGTTTGTGAAGGTTAGAAAATGGGAAACCTCTTAGAGATCAAAGAATCCTACCAAATTATTCCTTTAACCATGCAGGACCAATTCCAGATCACTGTAAGAGCTCTATCATTGTACAAACTGACTTTTCCCCCTCCTCCACCATACTCATCTAGGTGTGATCTTGCGTGGACAACAAATGAGATAGTTCAAAGCAAGTCTGGTATCCATTGGCTTCCTCAAAAGGGTCAATCTCAACAGGTGTCACCTTCTGATCTGCAAAGATCTCCTAAGGGTCTTGATCAGCTCCTGGTGGTCATGGACCGAGTCCAACCTCAGCACTAGACATCACAGACCACCCCTCCAACAATACTAAGCTTTTGGCTCTCTGTACGTCAAGTCTCCTCAAACTGATTCCAACACAATCCAGCTGTCCCGAGTGAACTGTGAACCGAGAAGATCGCACAGTGTGAGGTGCAAGCAGGGTCAGTCCATCAGTTCCTGAATAGCAGGAAAGCCAAGCAGGCTGGCACCCCTTTCTCCAATAAGGTGAAGACAATAATACATCCTGGTTAGGAGGAAAGATTCTAAGTGAAGGATAAACTAACCATACTAACCAAGGACGTTAAGGAGAGTATTAAGTCAAAAGAAAAAAATATTTATAGATAGGCCAAAGTCAGTGATAGCCCTGAAGGCTGAGATAAATTCAGAATCCAACAAAGGAGAACTAAAATGATAATAAAGAGAGAAAATAAACTATGAGGCAAACTGGTGAGAAATATAAAAAAACTCCTGACATTCAGGGCTTCTTTCAATATATGAAAAGGAACACCGGGGTCAAATGAACATAGGCCTCTTAGAAAATGAATGTGGGCAGACTGTTTTGGGGACCAAGGAAGTGGCAGAGGAGTTAAACAGATATTGTGCATTTGTCTTTATGGTGAAAGATACTTTGAACATCCCATTAATGCTAAAAAGTACTGGGGAAGAATTAGGTACCACTACATCACTGTCAAAGTAGTTTTAAACTAAGGGGGCTGAAGTTAGGTTAGTCCCTGATAGTTTGCATCCTAGGATCCTAAAAGAGGTAGCTGCAGAAATAATGGAAGCATTGGTTATAATTTTCCAAAAATCCTTGGATTCCTGAAGAAGTACCACAGGACGGAAAACTGCCAATGTGACACCGCTATTCAAAAGGGGAGGGAGGCAAAAGGTGAGTACCTATAAGCCAATTAGCCTAAAATCGATTGTTGGAAAAGTACTGGAATCAAGCGTTAAAGAATTGATAGCAGAACATTTGGAAAATCATAATCTAATCAAGCAGTGTTAGTATGGTTTCATGAAAGGGAAATCACGCCTGGCTAATTTATTAAAGCTCTTTGAGGAAGTGTCAACCAAAGTGGATACAGGGGAACCAGCAGATGTGTTGTATTTGCACTTCTAGAAGCCATTTGACAAGGTACCTCAGAAAAAAGGTTATGCCATAACATAACAGCCACTGTGTTAGAGGTGATATATTAACACAATTAGAGAATTGGCTCGTGGATAGGAAACAGCAAGTGGGGATGAGGGGTTCTTTTTCAGGTTGACAACCTGTGACCAGTGGGATTCCGCAAGGATCAGTGCTGGGACCATAACTGTTTATAATATTCATCAATGACTTGGATAATGGCTCTAAATATCAAATATCCAAATTTGCTGATGACATAAAATTGGGCAGTATTGTAGACAGTGTTGATGGCAGCATAAAATTACAACAGGATATGGATAGTTTCGGTGAATGGGCAAAGTTGTGGCAGATGGATTTTAATATAAGCAAGTGTGAGGTTATCTGTTTTGGACTAGAAAGGATTGATCAGGGCATTTATTTAGAAAGCAGGAAGTTAAGTGCAGTGGATGTCCAACAAGATTTGTGAGTTCAAAGAAACATAGAAAATAGCTGCAGGAGTAGGCCATTCGGCCCTTCGACCCTATACAACCATTTAATATGATCATGGCTGATCATGTAATCTCAGTATCCCATTCCTGCCCTCTCTCCATACCCCTTGATCCCTTTAGCCCCACGGGCCACGTCCAGCTCCCTCTCGAATACATCTAATGAACCGGCCCCATAGCTTCCTGTGGGAGAGAATTCCACAGCTTCACAACTCTTTGAGTGAAGAGATTCTTCCTCATCTCAGTCCTGAATGGCTTACCCCTTATTCTTAGACTGTGACCCCTAGTTCTGGACTTCCCCAACATCAGGAACATTCTTCCTGCATCTAAACTGTCCAGTCCCTTCAGAATTTTATATGTGGCTATGAGATTCCAAACCCCCTCCCCCCATTCTTCTAAATTTCAGCAAATATAAGCCCAGTCGATCCAGTCTTTCCCCATATGTCAGTTCTGCCATCCCGGGAATCAGTCTGGTGAACCTTCACTGGACTCTCTCAACAGCAAGATTGTCCTTCCTCAGATTGCACACAATACTCAAGGTGTGGCCTCACTAAGGCCCTGTATAACTGCAGCAAGACATTCTTACTCCGATACTCAAATCCTCTCGCTATGAAGGCCAGCATGCCATTAGCTTTCCTCACTGCCTGCTGCACCTGCATGCCAACCTTCAGTGACTGTTCCACCATGGCACCCAGGTCTCATTGCACCTCACCTTCTCCTAAACTGCCACCATTAGATAATAATCTGCCTTCCTGTTTTTGTGACCAAAGTGGATAACCTCACATTTATCCACATTATATTGTATTTGCCCACTCAGCCAGTCTGTTCAAGTCACCCTGCAGCCTCTTAGCATCTTCCTCACAGTACACACTGCCACCCAGCTTAGAGTCATCTGAAAATTTGGAGATATTGCATTCAGTTCCTTTGTCCAAATCATTAATGTATGTTGTGAACAGCTGAAGTCCCAGCACTGAACATTGTGGAACCCAACTAGTCACTGCATGCCATTCTGAAAAGGACCCATTTATTCCAACTCTGTTTCCTGTCTGCCAACCAGCCTCTTTCCATATCAATACCATATCATACCTCCGATACCATGAGTTTTAATTTTGCTTACTAATCTCTTGTGTGGAACCTTGACAAAAACATTTTGAAAGTCCAGATACACATCATCTACTGATTCGCCGTTGACCACTCTACTGGTTACATCCTCAAAAATTTCCAGAAGATTTGTCAAGCATCATGCTGACTCGGACCAATTCTGTCACCGCTTTCCAAATGCTCAGTTATTACACCCTTGCAGGTGCATAGCTCTTTAAAATGCCACATTCAGGTGCAGAAAACAGTCAAGAAGGTTAATGGCTTCCGTATCTAAAGGGCTAGATGTACGGATGCAGATGTTATGTTGCAGTTATACAAAGACCTAGTTAGATCCCACTTAACGTACTATGAGCAGATCTGGGCACAACACCATAGGAAGGATGTTTTGGCCCTAGAGGGAGTTCAACACAGGTTTGCAAGGATGTTACCTGGACTTCAGGGGTTACATTACAAGGAGAGATTGGATAAATTAGGCCTTTATTCGCTAAAATTTAGAGGGTTAATGGGTCATCTAATTGAGGTGTTCAGCGTGTTAACAGGGAAAGACAAGGTAGATAGAGATAAACTATTTACTGGTTGAAGATTCTAGAACCTGGGACATTGTCTAAATATTAGGGCCAGGCCATTCAGGAGAGATGTTAGAAAGCACTTCAAGGAGCAAAGGAGGTTTGGAACAATCTTCCTCAAATGATGGTTGATGCTCAATCAATTGTTAAATTCTGAGATAGACAGATTTTTATTAAGCAGGGGCATCAAGATTATGGCCCCAAGGCAGGCATATGGACTTAGGCCACAGATCAGCCACGGTCTTACTAAATGGCACAGCAGGCTCAAGGGGCTGAATGGCCTACTCCGGTTCCTATATTCCTAATCAGGAAGTCTAATGGAATGTTGGGCCTTATTTCAATGGTATTGGAGTATAAGAATAGGGAAGTCTTACTGCAACTGTACAAAGAGCTGGTGAGACTAAATCTGGAGTATTGTGAGCAGTTTTGCCTCCAGGAAGGATATCATTTTATTGGAGGTAGTTCAAAGAAGGTTCACTAGACTGATCCCTTGCATGGAGGGAATGTCTTATGAGCAAAGGCTAAACAGATGATCTCATTGGAAGAGATTGGATTCTTAAGTTGCTTGACAGGGTCAATGGTAAGAGGATGTTTCCCCTCGTGGGTGAGTCCAGGACCAGAGGGTATAGTCTTAGCAAACTCCACTCACTGCCTTTCATTCCATATCTTCTTGATGGCCTCACCTGATAAAATGGTGACAAGTCCTAGCAGGCCACAGTCAGATAGTCAAGTAGCCAGATAGCAGGGGAGAGGGGGGTGGGGTGGGTGGGGGTGGACCCAAGTCTGAAGTACAGCCTGTTCAGTAAGAAACATGACAAGTATTGATTGCTGTTTCGTGAACCTTACACAAGCATCTCTTGTGACGCAGCCAGTAAATCCGTTGCACTGCATGTGCCAACCCAGGTTCAAATCTGATCAAAGATCTGGGTGAGGACAAGCCTGACTGCTGCAGTAAGATGAAAATGTTGGTGCTTATTGTGTCTTTTTTTTCACAACTGAATGAATGAGATAAGATGCGGAAACAGAAATTGCTGGAGAAACTCAGCAAGTCTGGGACAGTGACCCTGACTATCTCAAAAGTTAACTCAACTTTCTCTCCATCGATACAGCGAGACTTGCTGAGTGCCTCCAGCAATTCCTGTTTCCTTTTTAGATTTCTAGCAGTTCTTTGTTTTATTTTAAAATCACATTTTACAGAAATTTTACAGAACTCTGAGTCCTTTCCAGCTGGTTACTATATTAAGTATGGATTCAATTTAAGTGGTATCAGAAACAGAGAACTCTGAAGAAATGCAGAAGATTGGGCAGCATCTGGGAACAGAATTAATGTTTTCAGTCCAACTCTTCTTCGGAACTGAAAGGGGGCTGACATTTTTTTTATGCTGTTGACAAAGTGGGAGGAGGAATCTCTTGGTTTTATTCTCTCAGAAAATTTCCTGGATCTCTTTTTCTTTCGTCCTACTTTAAAAATAAACAGAAAGTTGGCAGCCTAGAGTGTTGCAGGCTTGGAGTAAGTTACCGAGGTAGAGATACCTTAGTTTTTAAATTCTGCAATAGCTGAACTTGTCACTGGTGGTGTTCTGAATTGTAAATAATGAAAATTGGCAGGTTTCCAATAGCACCAGCAGCCTCATTACCGATGAGCCTCACTAGCTATCATTAGTCGAGTTTGTGCACTTGGCATCCTACAGAAGTCTATACCCTGAAAATGACAGTGAAGTTACCTGAGAGTGCGTTGGAAGTAGATTCGATGACAGCCTCCAATAGGGCATCGAACGTATACTTGGAAAGGAAGAATAATTTGCAGAGCTGTGAAAAGAGTAGTGAAGTTAGATTTATTGAATATGTCATTCAAGTGGCATTGACAGAAAAGATCAAACAGTGGGTAATAAGATTTTATATAATTCCACACAGACATGTATATTTTACCCAATATACATATATCTGTTTCATGTGTAGTTAATTATATGTAGATATTACCCTATTTTTGCACATATAACGTATTATTCATAGATTCAAATATTAAAACTAGAAATGATTTACCTTTGACAATAGTGTTCAATTGATTTGATTGAGTTTTTAAAACAAACAACTGTGGATGCTGGAGATCTGAAACGAAAACAGAAACAGCTGGTGAAACTCGGCAGAACTGGTAGTATCTGTGGGGAGAAAGCAGAGTTAATGTTTTGGTCCAGTAACTTGAAATGTTAATTCTGCTTTCTTCCTACAGATGCTGCCAGATCTGCTGAGTTTCATCAGCTGTTTCTGTTTGTGATTGAGTTTTTAAGATGGGTAACAAAGAGGGTTGATGTGATCTGCATGGATTTGCAAAAGATGTTTGATAAAGTGCCAGATCATAGACATATTATCAAATTAGCAGTTCCTTGGAATAAAAGGGACAATGGTTGCATGAATCCCAAGCTGGCTGAGCAACAGGAGGTACAGCAGTGGGGACTGGTTGTCTGTCAGACTGGAGGATCGTATATACAGGGATTTCCCAGGTAGTGTCATTAGGACCACTGCTTCTCCTGATTTATATCAATGATCCAGACTTATATATACAGGGTGGAGTTTCAGCATTTGCATTTGACACAAAATATGGAAGTATTGTGAACTCTGAGGAGAAGTGACAGATTTCAGGGAGGCACAGGATGATGGGCGGGGCAGGGCTGACAGACAGCAGGTTAAATTTAATTCTAAGTGTGAAGTGATACATTTTGGTAAGAAGTATGAAGAAGGGCAATTTAAAATAAACGATACAGTTCTAAAGGGGCTGCAGGAGCAGATAGACCTAAGCACAAATCATTGAAGTGAACAGCTTAGGTTGAGAAAGTGGATAATTAGACAATCAACTCTGTTTCTGTCTCCACAGATCCGCCAGACCCACTGAGTTTCCCCAGCACTTTGTTTTTAGAGTAATCTACTTAGTTGTCTGAAACCATGACTGAGAAAGTTCCGAACTACCTTCTCAACGTAATTAAGGATGGGCGATAAATCCAAGGAAAGAAGATTAATGACCGTCTGATAGTGGTGATGTAAAGCACTGTCCTGTGTGTGACGTCATGGTGAAATAACTGGCCTGTCAGTAACCATCCTTTCATTTATGAGGAAAGTTTCCAACAGCATGGCTTATGGAAATAGCTCTGGATAAATGTATCTTCGGAAAAGCTGACGTGAATCGTTTCCAGGACTTGTCAAGTTGGCATGCATGAATACTATGTGACACCAGAAATGGAGAGCCAGTTGCTCGGCTTGTAATGGAATAGAAGTGCACGTGACATCACAGGGAGGTGTAGTTAAATAATTACAATACATAAAGATTCAATTTCAACTTTTAAAAAAGAGTGGTGTGCAGTAAATGTATTTGACTGTTATAAGTGTGAGGGAGTATGTATATGTGCAACATTATGATCAAAATAACATCCATTAAATTCTGTCCTGAAAATGTACACTGACCACAGTTTCAATAGGACTTCTGTGGCATACTAGTAATTTACATTCTGGTCACTCCAATTCGAGGCTATTGAGCTAACTTGTCAATTGATTTCACCCAAAGGTTCAAACCCTCTCCTGTTCATTCCCACTGTACAGAATCCCAATGGATCAAACTGCTTCTCAATTACCCACTCTGTGCAGAATCTCAAATGGATCAAATCTCCTCACAATCATTCTAAAACTGCTACCCTGATACAATATTTATCCCTCAGATAGTATCACTAACAACAGATTACCTGATTGTGGGATTTGATATGCAGATACAGGCTGTGGCATTTCTTACAATAGGAGAGTGATAACTCTTCAAATTCACTTCATTACTTGAAAAGTACTTTGGCATATCTTGAGGCTGTGAAAGGCACTATAGGAATTCTTTCTTATTTCTGTTCTTCTCTGAAAAACTACTTAATTGCCACATTTTTGTGTAATTTCTTCTCAATTTTAAGTTCCTACATTGACATTTTTACCAGTTTCCCATACAAATTAAACTGTAATTACCATTCTGCTAATAGTGGTGGTGCTGTAATCCCACAGTGTTGTCTCTGTCTGCACCTCACACAGAGAGAGAGGGAGAGAGAGAGAATCCCAGTAAGAACTGTTTACACAATTTACAGTGAATACCACCATCAGGTGTAGAAGGAATGAAGGAACATGATGTCACATGCAATGTCCCCGCCATGCACTGGTGGCCAGTTTAATGGCTGGCCAAGGAGGTGGATCACTCCTTTGGCAGCGAGGGCCTTCAGATGCAGTTGCAGACCAAGTTCTCTGGGCACATGATCCATGGCTCACACCTCTCCCCAGGCAACGCAGTGGCTACAGTGGGGCCAGGTGGTGAAGTGGAGGAGCAGCTGAGGAAACCTACTCCATGTATGTTACTAGCGAAGGAAAGCTCCAGCTCCTTGGCCCCAGCCTCCTTATCCTGAGCTGGTGACATCGGCAGAATATGCACGCACGGAGGTCTCCTTTGGCCTCACGTGGCCAGCTGGCATCACGTCCCACATGTGCAATAGCACACAGAACTAGATATTACAGAGCAATTCTCCCGCAACACAAGCTTTCAGTTTTTTGATGTATGCCAAGTCTCCTCAAACTCATTCCAAACACAACCCAACTCCTGAGCGATCTGTGAACCCAGCAGTTTGCACAATGTGAGATTAAACCAAACATGCTGCCTCACAGCGCCAGGGACCCCGGGTTCGATTCCAGCCTCGGGCGACTGTCTGTGTGGAGTTTGCACATTCTCCCTGTGTCTGCGTGGGTTTCCTCTGGGTGCTCCGGTTTCCTCCCACAGTCCAAAAATGTGCAGGTTAGGTGGATTGGCCATGGGAAATTGCCCGTAGTGTTCAGGGAGGTGTAGATTAGGTGGGTTATAGGGGGATGGGTCTGGGTGGGATGCTGTGAGGTTCGGTGTGGACTTGTTGGGCCGTACAGCCTGTTTCCACACTGTAGGGATTCTATGATTCTATGAAACTCAATCCGGTTTGCAGCTCTAAATATCAGGAAAGGCTGAACAGGCCGACATTCCTTTCTCCAATAAAGTGAAGGCTGAGGGCTAAAGGATAGAAGACTTTAATATTCAGAAGGGGTTTTCACGGGGTTGTTGCTCCCATTTGTGTGGATACAACAAATATGGCACTATAAATATCAGTCTCCAATAAATCCCTTGGGGAATTCAGGAGAAATATATTTACTCAGTGAGAACGTGGAACTTGCTCCCACAGGGAGTGGTTGAGGTGACAAATACTGATGCATTTTAAGGTAGAGTTGGATAAGCACACGAGGGCAAAAGGATGAGAAAGACATGCTGCTAGGGTGAGATAAAAAGGAGACAGAAGGAGCAGAAACACCAGCTCAGAGCAGAGGCCTGATTCTGAGCTGCAAATGTCTTTCTGAGCAGATAGTCTGTGGTAGGCTCATTCGGCCCCTCATACCTCTTCCACATCCCTCACCTTCCTTTCATTCCAAATCTTCTTGCTGCTCTCACCCGACAAAAGTGGCTGAACCAGTTCAAATCTGATTAAAGATCTGGGCAAGGACAAACTTGTCTGCTCCAGTGAGCTGCAAATGTTGGTGCTTATTGATTTTATTTTTAAGAACTGAATAAACAACATTCAGTTGACACTGCAGAAAATTCCACATGAGGACATTCTGGCTGGTTATATATTAAGTATGGATTCAATTTGAGTGGTATCAAAACAAACACTGAACACTGAAGAAAGCACATTAGGCACCATTTGTGGAAACAGAAACAAAATTAATGTTCAAGTCTGCTATGACTCTTCAGAGTAGTTTTTTTTCTCTCCATAGATGCAGGCAGACCTGCTGATTTCCTGCAGTGTTCTCTGTATTTGTTTCAGACTTTCAGAATCTGCCTTTAAGTGGCATCACTTTTATTTTCAAACTTCCTTATTCCCCCGCCTCACCTTGTCCACCATCCTGCTCCTAGAAATTTCAGAACCCTCCACCCCACCTCTGTGTTCTGAAGTGGCTGGTCCTTGACCCTAAACATGTCAGTCATGGAGTTGAAGGAGATATCACAGCATCCACAGAAGAGGGCGCTGGAATGTAGGGAGGGAAAGGAAAGGAGCATTTCTCTAGCGCCAATCACAATTTCAGGATGTCCCAACACACTTTAAGCCAATGAAGTACTTCTTGAAGTGTAATTAATGTAACATAGGAAATGTAGCAGCATAGGAAATGCATAATAGCTCCCACAAACAGTAATGAGACAATGATCAGGTCATCTTGTTTTTTAGTGATGTTGACATGAGAATCAATACGGGCTTGTAAGAGGGCTGGTGGATCCTTGGTGTAACATCTCATTTAAAATAAAAACAGTGCAACATTCCTCCACTGTCGTACTAAATGAGTCAACCTAGATTTGTGGTAAAGTCTCCGGATTAGGACTTGAGCCCACAGTGTCTGAATTGGGTGAAAAAGAGTGAGTGCTCCCACTAAATCATAGTTGATAGAGGGAGTTACCTTAAGACTTGTTCATTGTGGAGGTAGATGCTTGACCAGATTTTTCTTTTTGTTGGGGCGTTGCACAGTTGTCACTTAGGGGATTGGTTCAGTTGGTCTTGGTTGCTGTCATGATCTCAGGTTGACCAGTGGACTGTCCTGAGCTACAAAGAAAGTTAAGTTGGTTGACTGTTGGATTTGCTCATGCTATTAGGCATGTCATAGAGCCCTACAGTATGGAGTGGGAAATAAGCCAGGGACTAGGTCCCTGAACAAGGAACTTGTGTGGGTCAGAATATTGGCTGAGGATCAAAATTATGCTTGTATTTTGGCATCTTCTCCCAGTGATGATGAACAGTCTTACTTGGGTGGGAATGCTGTTTACATGTCTGGAAAGAACAAGGTCCAAATGGCAACACCTCCCAGTCAGTAATGCTATTGCAGGCATCAGTCAAATGGGTGAACCAGCCTCCCTCGCTGATTGCTGAGCAAGCGAGTTAAGGTGGATCTGAGGTGATTGACAGCTGAGAGAGGAGGGGGCAGCTAAGCCTTGGGAGGATCAAACACTGAGCTAAGATGAGGTTGTTGACTTGCTCGCCGAGCTGGCTTGTTCTCATTCAGACATTTTGTCACCATGCTAGGTAACATCATCAGTGAGGCCTTCGGTGAAGTGATGTTGTTCTACTCTGCTTGGAATTTACACTTTCTGGTCTATTGAGGTGTTTTGTGTCATTTCTGGTTCTGTTCTGTATGGGTTTGTATATGGGGTCCAAACTTATATGTTTGTTGATTGTATCAGAGGTTGAGAACCATGCCATTAACAGACCAGACAGTATAAATTCCAAGCGGAGTAGAACAACATCACTTCATCAGAGGCTCCACTGTTGATGTTACCTAGCATGGTGATGAAACATCTGAACAAAAACAAGCCAGCTCGGTGAGCAAGTCAACAACCTCACCCACAACCCGAGCTACAAATGTTTGCTAAAACCTTAAACTGAGCTGAGATCTCTGTAATATTGGGAGTATCCGGGCATTAAAAACGACAAGAAAATGCTTGGGAGTTTACTCATACAGTAATGGCCCCTGGCTCCCTCTAATTTAATCATTTACATACGCTTGCTGACAAAAATAGTGTTTGAAAGCTGTCAACTATCACCTTGAGCTTGCACAAGAAAGCAGCTTGGTTAGGGTCAGCAACATTGTTGACCATATCATCTCCCATTCTTGCTATTGGCCATCTGGCCTGCCCAGCTTAGGAGGCCTCACATCCCTCCTCCACTAAGCAAACCGTATTACCAATTGGATGTTTCATTACTTTCAGCTTTTACAACTCCCTCATTCCTTACTCTAATTGTCGTGACATAACTGGTAATGAAAAGTCTTCAAAGAAGAGAAAATCAATACATTTTTAACCACCCGAATGGTATTGTCCCCTGCTAGGTTATGCTCACAGCTACTTCTAGATGTCTCATCTTTTATTGACGACACTTGCAATAGTCACTTGATGGTTGTCCTACTCCTACTTAGAATCTTACACTAGTGGGGGAGGCCATTCGATCCACTGTACTTGTGCTCGCTCCTTGAAAGTCAACTGTACCAGCAAACAAACTGAGTTAGCACCTTCTGGAGGAGATATGAAATCTGTGGAATTATAAATAATGAATCTAGCAAAGTCCATCCCCCCCATCCCATTTCATCTGCACACAGTAGATCATTAACTGGGATTATCAGCATATCTAAATTAGCTTTGTTCATTCTCACAACAAATTTTTCCATATAAAATGCGATGACAATGGCCTTCAGTTCTACAAAATTCTTCAAAATTCCCAGCCACTTCAAAGGTGCAAGGACAGTCATTTTAGGC